TGGAAGATTAAGGAACGAAAAGCGGTCGGAACTAATTTGGAACCGTCCAACACATCGATTCAAGATTTTGGCACCCACACTAACCGACAAGAGCCGTTAATTGGCATTCAACACTGATCTAGTTTGAAGAGGACTTACTGATTTGTTCCCCGTCTGTCTTATAACCTGGCCAATTTTGTGACCTATTCACTTGGCCTGATGAAGCTTTTGTGTCAAAAGCGAAATGTTGCCCAAATAAAAACTACCGATTGTTTACCAAGCTCTTCTGAAATGATGACTTCTATGTTTTTAGTTGCATCTGACAGTTTGCCTCCGATTGACACCAAGTCGCATCTGGTCACGACAACACGACAGACAGGTTGGATTTGAGACCCACTGCGAAAAGTAAGGGTGGTGAAACAGCTCTACAGCGACTCCAATAGGGCGGATGCCACGTAGACAGTTTCACTTTTACTCATTAGTAAATTTTTTGTCTGATCTCCTCGTTTTCTTGTCTTATCGACAACACGTTTAGTCTGGCTTTCGTAGACGATTTCTACAAGTTTCATTATAAAAATGAGACGGGGTTGACATGAAACGGTCTCGCTAGTTGGTGGGCTCCTCCTCACGATGAGTGTACCGAAAAGGGACTCTATCGTATTAACAGAAACTGCAGCGCATACTGCACGGTTTTGTTGTACCGGCATGAGAACGCTGTCCCCTTGATCGTGGACAAATTTTCGGGACGAAATCCTGAGTTCTTCTGATGAGCTTTCTTCATATCAGTGTGATGTCCAATGAAATCTGACTGAGCTTTGGCATTCGCCGGAACAATACTGACTGGCTCAGTTTAGAGTGAAAGATCAAACCTGATTTAATAAGTGAGATTCTGGCTTTTTGTTGCTTTTTAGTAAGAAACAGGAGCGTGTGAATCACACAAAATTCTTCGTGTCTACAGGACGTCATTACCCCATGGCCAGTGACTGCTTCACTCTCTGGAGCAGCATAGCACCTACCCAAGACGGACGATCTGTCTAGTATTGACCGACGTTACTCTCCAAACTAGTACCGATTCAGAAACGCTTAGTCGGTAGTCACAGTTTGATCTTAGGGTTCTTCTTCCCGTCTAAACAGAGGTCACTATGGTAATCGTATCTGTCTAGTGTTCATCGACGTTACTCTCCATACTATTACCGATTCAGGAACGCTAAGTCGACAGTCACAGTTTAATCTTAGGATTCTTCTTTCCGTCTAAACAGAGGTCACTATGGTAATCGATCTGTACATGGACAACGTTGGCTTCATTGTCAAACAGTAGACGAAAATCCAAAAAAAACAACCGCTGTATTAGTCCAACACAATTAGAACTCGACCAACATCCTTTGATCTAGGCGCCCACCACTGGATTCAGTCATCTGAACTGTCGTGTTGACGGAAACCCGGGGACTGCGCCTACCTGATGAGCCCCAAGAAGGGCGAAACCGGTCGTGGGCTGTCGATGGACTTTCAGCAACCTTATGAGTAGTACATTACAAATAAAATCTTTCTTGTTTAGCACAACGGAACTCGAATGAATCTCAAGGTTATCTTCAGTTCATTATTGATGTTATGTGTCTATGTTAGGTTGGACTTTGAAACAGAAATCGTTGTCGAGAGGTCGTACTGCCTTCTTCAGTTTTGGTAGTTTGACAGTGAAGATGCGTACCATTCTGCGTCTCGCTCCCCGTCATCCTAATTATCGAATTGGTGTGATTGGTCGGAAAAATTCCGAGTTAGCCGAAGCAGTGTTTTTCTTGTACAAATATTCAATCCCTGCTGCCCGTATCGTTTGCCTGACACTACTCATAACGCTGATGAGAACATTTGAAAAGCTCACCGCCTGTTTTATGCTTTTAAGGGTTGATTGGACGAACTCAGTCCGCATATTTTCCTCGGTCATAGTTCGAACTTGAAAGCCACATCGAACGAACGAGTGTTAACGAGAGACTTAATCGAATTCTGAGTGAGTCTCCTAAATAGACTTTAGGTTATATAAAGTTTCGGACAAACGAAACAAGGAGATTACGAATCTGACGGAAGCCCAAAAGGTCTCAGCCCAACATATCTCATTTGGTTTCCACTTTTCTGTACAATTAAGAAAACACTCTGCAATTTTTTACTTCATCTTGCTAGCCTGTTGAAAGTGGCAGCTGGTGTAGATAGATTGAGCAGAATGGCTTGTTGGATCATGGTTATCTCTGACTGTTGTCTGTCGATCGGCATTTAGGTAGGCTCCGAATTCGACCCCCCCTCGAATTCATATTGCAATCTACGGTGCCCAATCTTTCAAACGAAAAAGGGCCAAGTTTAGAGAATAACTCAACATGTTGGCGCTTCGTTGATGTGGCCGTTTTTTCAGCGCGCGAACGCAACGCCCTCAATCAGAGAGTTCCCATGGCCGTGGTTGAAATCTGCCGGATTTATCAACCAACTGACCTCGTAGCCCTAATACGAACTTATCATACATTCTAGCACCATAGAAGTACCATGATGAACGAGACAAAAATCGATGCAGAGTTTTTCGTCAACTCCTCTGCTTCCTTGGATAATAGCGCCTTTTTACTGGGAGTGGAAAACTCCACTAGAGATAGGAGACAACCCTGTTGGAGACCAGTGCTTTAGGACACATCCTGTTATCTTTGACTTCGTGCTCACTTGGATGGAAAGATAAGTTTACTATGGAGCGAGTCTTTAATTGTGGAAAGCCCGTTTACAAGTCATCCCATCAGATCTGTATTTTCCCCACCTTTCTCTGTCAGACAACGTCAAGTTTTGGGCTGTTCGTTTTTCCACAACACCACTTATTGACGGAGTTCTACCTCTATTTCAGTGGGGGAAAAGAACGGTTAGGGTGAGGCCTTCATTCATGAATGGTTTACGAGGTTGAGTTGTCAAGCCTGTCATACAGGCCAGTGAAGCGTGAACAAGTTTATCTGTTCAGACGTGACAGCTCACGTGTGTCCCGAAGGTGTTTATGGAGGACTGGCAACTCGCTTGTCTCGCGCGCTAGTTCCGGTGCGACCACGAAGCTGTTCGTCTACAGTGTTTTCTCGCTTTGGTGAGAACTAATCAAAGGCAGGAGGGCACTTCAAACAAGAACGACACGACTAGAACTCTTGCTAATCCTGCCACTACCCAAAATCACCCGTTTTTCTAACAGGGTTATGAACTGACAGTGTTGCAACTAATACAATCACACCGCCGCACAACCTTGTTGGTTCGTACTAACCACGTGAAGAAATACAAGTTGCGCTTCCAGTTTATCCAGTCATGATGAACGCCTTGTGACTGATAAGGGATATCGGTAAACATGAGATTTCTGAGTTTAAATTAATGATCAGACAGTAGAGCAGAAGAATGGTAAATCACATGACGAGTGAACCTTCCACTAAGGAAGTCGTCAGTCTAAGAGCCAACCAACACGTGCGACCACGTGACATCGATCTCGTGACTGGATGACGAGTGGTGCCATGCCCTGCCTGAGTGCAAGTGTTGATCAGCCACTCCTGGCCGAACGCTTAAATGGCGTGTTCAAAACTCGCCCGGGAATTTTTTTGAGATGCGCATTCCTCATAGTTCGCATTTAAAAAAAAATGGACCAGCTGTACAGTGCTTCTCCGTTTTTCGATGTACAGTGATTTAAATTACAGGGTAACATCTAGATTACAATTATTAGTGAACTTAAATAAAGTCAAATGAGCAGATAATATCACACGTGGTCACAAATTAGTTTGTCTTCGGAGCAGGAATTTGTATAATCCAAGACGAATAGGAACTGGTATTTTTAATCTCACCTGTATTCGGCTTGATATTTGTTGCCAAGAAGTTGAAATTTGAATAAATTTACTAACGCCTCCCAAATAAGCAGATTTATATATGTTTATCTGTACGTTTGCAGTTACTGACAAATTAGTAAGATGACGAATTTGCATAGACTTGATACACTACTCATAGGGCTACTGAAAATTCTCTTAGTTTGCGAAAATCCTTCGCCATTTTGTTTTGTTGAATGTGCGATCCACTAACCCCGTCAAAGCGCATGCACAAACCCGTGAAAGTCTTTCAAATTACATCGGCTTTTCACTTCCCCAACACATGAATCACTTGGTGTGGTACAGCCAAGGCCGTTTCGTCCCTTTTAAGGCCCATCACGTAGGCACAGGCTCCGGGATTTCTTTGTTAGCCTTGAACCCAACTCGCACGAAATTATCAAAATTCACGCATTTGCGTGCGTGCCATTTTGGTTTAAACGGGAGACTCACCTGGAACCCAGGTAAATCCCTCGTTTGTAATGTTCTCAAGCAACCACTGCATCAGGCGGCCTCGAGATATGGGATGTACTTCAGCACGCATAATCTTGAGAACATCATAAACGAGAGATTCAGCTGGGTTCAAGGTGTGTCTCGCGTCAAAACCACATTACTATGCAAATAAGTGTATTTCAACAATGACGAATTTGGCTTTCGAACTCCCTAGATGTACACTGACTTTCGTCAACATAGTTCGTGCGGTGATCATTTTTATAAATGGCATGCATACTGAGAATTTGCGACTGAAAGTTTGAACCAATCTCCCTACCGAACTTTACTCTAACGACCTCTTGTAATAAAATCATCTTAACTCCAAACAGTCAGTTTGTTTGTTCTTTAAGCTTTGATTGCTTCTGAATTCCGAATTCAAGTGATTGGCCGGTCACACTGGAATACAACTGATGAAAAAAACATATTTCAATCATTGATTTCAGCCCTAGCGACCAGTGCTGACTGTGCCCACCCTGACTGAACACTCATCAGATCATGTGATTTGAGCTGAGCTGAGCTGTGCTGTTGACTAATACATGCAAGCGAATCACACTGCTGATCAGACTCCCATGTCCGACTGACCGGTATGCTTTGCAGTCTGAATCCCTCTAGATATTCTCGAAATGTTCTGATGGTAGCCAACAAGGAAGAACCTTTTCCGTGAAAGACTCGGCTAAAGTCGGTGTGTCATTTGGATAAAATAAGGAAATGAGCAGTCGGATAGACAAAAAATAAAGTTATGCCAATTGAACGTGGGCTGTTTGATTTGGAGAATAGAAAAGTATGGTATAGAACCATCAAGAATAAACGGGTCTTGTCCAGATTAGCCCCGCCAAAAAATTAACCCCCGCCGCCCGAAAAAGACTAGAAAAGTAGCTGTCCATTAAAGATCGGTTTGTGCCGCATTGGCGTTTACTCTGCATCCCGTAGACGTGCCAGAAAGATTCGATGGTTTGTGTGTGAGCTCCATGAGTATAATTCATGTGAATCATCATTTCAATTCCTTGGTAGGATGCCCACATATCCGAGATGATGATTGAGCCGGGAGCAATGCAGGCCTGGATTGTGTCCATCAGAGTGGCTTCAGTTCCATCTGGCACTGTATACATGAATACCACTTTAGTTTCCTGACAGATCCCTCCGAAAATCCACTGCCGGGGTAGGACTCGCCCTGCGTGTTTTTTTACGGCGAGATATTACCGTTTCATCGATCTCGACGTGTAGAGCTGGGCCAATAACTGTTGGAGTCTACAAAAGCTGTCAGGTGCAAGAAAGTTCTTTCAGTCAACAGCGGTCATGTGGCTAATAGATAATTCCCCTGAACAGAATTTGATTTTTGCCAAATTTTCGTACCAGCAATAAATGAATAGAGCTGCTGTCCATCCTAGACCGCTCCAAACAAGTTCCCTTTCGAAGACCGGTTTCTTGCCGACACTGTTGGGCATCACACCTCTACCTCTCAGTAACAGTTGAAAGTGTCATTTGGTGGCCGTTGTTGCATAAACGCTGCTGATGAATCACTTTTTGGCTTTGTGAAGTCGTATTACCGTCTCCTTGTCGTGAATGACAGTTGAAAGCGTCAGAAAGTTCACTTAAGGTTTTACGTCCGAACGGAGAAATTTTTGCGCAAAATGAGCCTAGATGCGGATGAGGAATGGTTTTCATCAAAATTAGGTCAAGATTGTGTGTGTACATTAAGTTGGAGCTGGGAAAAAGTGGCGGGGTTTGATTTTTCGCACATGAACTTTCTGCATTAGTGACGGGGCTTATCTGGAAAAGATCCGAGTAAACGATAGCAATATTTTGAGCGGACATTTCAGCCAAACTTTAGAGCTTAACTTTTTCCGTTTATTTCTTAAGAAATAGATGAACTCCTCTAGTCTAACCTGTCCATTTTGAGCAAATGAACTACAGTGTGATTGAGGTGTGCACAGGGGAAAATCAGAAGTGCTCAGGTCTCTCAGGACCAGTAGATGATGTTAAAATGTTAAAACGGTCACAGGTAGACCTTACAGTTTAGAACGTACAAGAATGTATCAGCTTTATCCATTCCGATCGGGAAATTCCAACCTAGGCACCGAATGCAAAACCAATGTACCCTTTGTTTCCATGGTTCCAAAACTTAGCCAAGTAACTGTGGCATTCCTGGATATGCTGAAGGTTATCTGAGGACTTTAACTATTTTGTCAAACAGTTTATCACAGTGTGTCAACACATGTACCTACATCGTACAAATATGAAATATGTGAGATAGTCAGTGCACGTCTATTTGGCCAATGAGAAAACAGCAAATCATCGAGGGCACAAATATCGATAAGATCCAATACTTACCAACTCGATTCCTGTCTGAGCTATTCCAAGTACAGCGAATTTCGTCGAGGACGACCGGCTATTTGAAGCTACGGAATCCAAATCAGTAATTGGCATACGTTCAGAACTGGTAGTTCTGACTTTGCGCTGAGGATGCACGGCGCCTCCAGCAGCTAGTTGAGCAGCTGAACTTCCAAGACCTCTGTAGCTGGATGCAATATCCAATATCGTTCCTTGGTGGCTATCGACCCGAGACTGGTGACCCGCAACAGACGGACGATATCCGTGCTCCAGTAGGATTTCATTATTCGTTCCGGACGGGGATTTATAAGCTTGATGGTCAGGTTCGGTTCCACCAGTTCTCGGTATTGCAGATGGAACAGAGCTGGCGTAGAAACCGCAACTTTTGATTACGGTGGGCACATATACTTCTTGGACTGAAGGGCGTGTTGGCGATGTAGCAGTGGAGTGTGTGGTTCCGAAATGGGGACAGGTTGTGGAAGGTGAGATAACCAGCTCTTTGAAACTGGGCAGTGTGGAATGTTCAGTTGGGGATAATGATCGATTGATCGGTTGGTGCCAATCCCTGGGTTGTGGAGACAGATCTTGTGATCTGCGTGTTGACCTGTAGTCGCCGGAGTGGCTGGTCGTCAGCTGTTCAACCATGGGTCTATCACGTCGGTCAAGAACCATCATCGGCGGCGTCCGAGAAAAGTTTTCCACCGAGAGATCGATTTCTAAGGGAGTGACGGGAACATTTTCAATTCGATCATTGTTACGGTTTTGGGAGGTGGCAAACCTCAGTTCCCTTCTTGTAGGCGATCTTCGAGATGGAATGGCAGCCAGTGTTCTGTAATCTTGTGGCCTATTGGCCAAGCTAGAATACGGCGGGCATGGCTTCATATTTCGGGCGAATGGAAAGTAAAGGTCGGCTGCAGTTTGACCTTGGGGAGGAGATAGTGGTGGTTTTGAAAGTGCTGGTGGTTTGGGGACGCGTCCATTGAGCTTGTTTGAGGGCATCGACTGAACAGTGTTCGATGCGAAAGGTTCCGTTGCTGAATAACTTTCATTCGAATCAATATACTCCTCGACATCCCGTATTCCTATGCATTTGGAAGGCAGTGATCGACTCATTGATTCCATACTAGACATGACTGTTGGCCTCTGTGAACCAGTTGTAAGTGAGTTTCGGGGTTCCATTTGGCTCGAACGCATTGAAGAAGACCGAGTTGTGGATGAGATCGATATCGGTTGGGTGGTTGTTTTAGTAATTGTGGCCCTCCGAATATTAAGAGCTATACTATTGGCCTCGGCCTCCGATTCGTTAATCATTGCATTGTGCGCTTTGGAATAGGTAGACGTGCGGTTGATCTCATGAACCGAAGGTCTAGGCGAAGTGGTCCACGTGGTTGTCGTGGCGTTCGTCAGACTTGATCTGCCGGTTTGTAGGTATTTATTTCTTTCGGACATTTCCGAGTACTGACTGGTCTGTCGTGGAATGTTGTCCTGTGGAGGACCACCGTTGTTCAAACCTGCGTAGGTACGGATTCCTTCAGCTCCCAGCCAATTGCCCACTTGATCGTTAGTCGTGACGGATTTCACAGTGCGTTTTGCCGCGGTCGGTTTTGTATCATCAAGCGACAAGTGTGGTTCACTATTCCTATGAGATTTTCCATGATTGGACTTGTGCGCCCCATCCGTTTCGTCCTCGTCGTCTGCTGAATGCAAAGGAGACGAAGAAAGCGTGTTAACTGAACCCGTATTTCCAAAAGCATCACCATCTTCGGCTATCTGATCGGTTGCTTCTGCATTCTGTTCGATATCGGAAATGTCGCTATCTTCTACCGGTTGTCTGCGTTCTGGTTTTGCTTGGATCACAGTTTGTTTACTTTCATCCCCGTCGGTGATCTTCGGCTCGCTGAGCTCTTGTTGTTGTTGTTGTTGCTGCTGCTGTTCGGACAGTCGGTCTCTTTCTCCTTTTGTATTGGTCAGCTTTGCATCATTTTTTTCCGTTGACAAAACGCCCTCTCCAGGCGTTGATAACACCTCCTGTTTCGACCCCCCTTCGTTCGCCGCAGACGCAGAAACAGTTTCAGCTCGTATCGATCGTTCTGCATCTCTCACCCCGTTCAAACCGCTCATTGGTGGTTCCACTGCTTGCTGTTTTGTAGGTGGGACTGAATGGAGAAGACTTGGTGTAGACTGACTGTTTGTATTGTTGATCGCTTTAGTGAGACCACCTTGCCCACCATTGCCAACAGTACCACGTACTTGCTGTCCCAGATGATTTGAAGTGGGCATTAAATTGCTAGCTTCCTCAGTTTGTCTCGTCTCCACTAGGCGATGAAAAGAGGAAGAACGGAATGAAGAATCAGAGACTGATTCGTATGGGAAACTACTATGTAAACCAGTTCGGTAAGAAAGTCGTTTTATACCTATGGTTACGATGTGATGTCTGGTCAGAAGGTAAGAGACGGATCCAGGGTTGCAGTTGAGAAAAAGCGTCAGTCGGTTTATTACCACTCGCCGAAAAAAAACTAGTATGATTATGCGCCTCAGAAGATATTCATGTATCGATAATAAAGCCAGTTGTGTTGTCTGAGTGACTAAAGTTCGTTCGTTACTGAACTAGACGTAACACACTACTCACAAGGTTGCTGAAAATTCTTCAACACCTGACGACCGCTTTTCCCTTCTTGTGGAAATGAGAGTACTTGACGTTAAACCAAACCGGTTTTCATTTATTACTCTAGTATTACTTAGTAACGCTGGGAGGAGTTCCAGCCAGGCACTCTTCGAAATACCTAGTCATTTGATGAACTTCTACAGAACAGTCACAGGTTGTAATCATATCAGAAATTTGAATTTGTTGGTGACGGTCATTTTCTGAGCTTGTCGAGAAGTCACTGATGACTAATTCCTCTTAAATGAACATTAACATCATTCAACTGATTGTAGATCAGGTGGCTGTTGATGTGTTTGCCAAAATTGGCAATGCGTCCCCATACGAGGAAATATCATGAGCGCGCCGTTGGGTGGGTATATCCTCTTAGCTTGCGTGCGTTTATATAGCATTTGGAGGCTATCTATTACCTTCCAGCGTGATTGGTTACCTTTGGAGACAGTGTTTGTCCTTAATCTATTGATCCGTTTGGGATTTGCGTTGTGGTTTGCGTTCCTCTGAGTTGATTGTTTATCGTAGTGCCTCCCATTTTTAGTAGTTTCCTCCCTGGCTTTAATTATCCCTTTACTCAATTTTCATTGCACTTCAGTACATCACCAATATACATTAGAGTAATAAATTTGCAGAGGAATGCTCAACCACCCGACTGCATAAGGATAACACTGTCCTGTAAAGCATGACAGGATCAAAAACGAAGCGGACAACAACCAGCCACTCAGTGTCAGTATGAGTTGTTATACTCATGTTTTCTTGATCGAATGACCACCTTCCCAAGAAGTTAGGGACCATCATCAGCAAACGAGGTGTTCGGACGATCCTAGTGGTTGCCCGCCGCAGGAAGCAACTTTATCGAGAGAGGATCCCTCTGCTCGTGGAGTTTTTCAGAAACGTTGTCATCTTTGAGACTATGTCAATGCCTAAGTTTATCACTGTTTTGGATCATGTAAACCCGATCCGGTAGATAGGATTTCTTAACACTGCAATTAGGGTTCATTAACCAAGGGCAAAAATCACTTTATTTTCTCATTAAAAACACATGGAGATAGTTTAAGCAGTCAAAAACCAACAATATTTCTACGTCAGCGGTACAAATCCTCGCCAAACACACCCTACGTAATGTGATCAACATTTCCCGATTCCTGTCGAAGCAGGAACAGTTCCCCCTCAAGTCGAAATTTCTTCATGTTACTACTGGCTAATAAGGCTTTTCTGTCTGAGTGAAATATTTTGTGTGCATTAAAACTCCGGATATTTGTCGTATTCAGACGCCTAACAGAGCGGGCAGTGAACTCCAATAAACGTGAAAAAGACCAAACTGGAAACATAGTGCGATATTATTGCTCAGATACAAAGTTCGACAGAAGATGAACATCCTTGAGACTGCATAGTGGCGTATGAGAGTCACAGACTGTGTAATGCTCAGACTGTGCTTTGAGAGGCTTTGGGGAGGCGAAGTGAAACCCACCTTTAAAGGAGACAATATAAGTTGACTCCACACTTACTTGGTGCTAACTTGGGGAGGCGAAATGAGACCCACCTTTAAAGGAGACAATATAAGTTGGAGCTACAAATAGCCGGACGAAACCATGCGGTATGGACCTGCATTAGATTGATAGATGCTCGTGGCAAACGTCAACGCACTTCACTTTTTGACAAGCTTCGGTTTCCCAACTTTTAAACATTGTTTTTTAGTCATTCAGCACGGATGTACTGTGCCTGCATGTTGCAAGAGTGCTGTCTCTTCTACAACCAAGTTAACATTAGAAGGACATTACATAGAAAATTTCAGAGATTAGACAGTTGGTCATAATTTTTCAGACATTATGGATCAAACAACGGATCGCTGTTGTTTCTGGAGTCAAGTTCTTGACAGTATGTCTTAGTACATTTTATATGACATCATTTGACGTGACCATAATTTCGAACGGTGATGCCGCCCCACAGGAAACTGTCAGTCTTGCTTTGAGGCATGCTAGAGAAGTCGAGAGAGAGAGAGAGCTCAGCTTCTCCAGGCCTCTACTTGGCCAGAAAGCCATCTTCATATGTGATATGTACAAACAGGCGAAAATAATCCAAAATTCAGCGAAACTTACAGGCACTCTGATGGCGTTGTAAGGCTGTGCTGGAATTCATGTCTCCGTCGTGCAAATTGTCGTGGCTGACAGCTAACTTTCGATCTAAATCGTTTTGACTCTTGGATTGCCGAGTTTGCCGCACGCTCCTGGTAGAACAAAACAGTTAAGCGACATTCAGATGTGTCATGCGTATAAACTGGGTCAATAGGATGAAATGTGAAGTTGTACGCGTTCGAGAACTGCAGGACAGTTAGACCGAATAAGATGGAAGTTTAGTCAGAATGGAAATGAACTACTTAATCATTCAAAGTAGTAGGAAAATAATAACTGTTCGTATTCGAGAAATACACTCATTTGCAAATCAGTTCGGTTTTCACGGGAGACTCAATTGAATCCCTTGTTTATGATGTCCTCCAACTGAATGTGCTGCACACAGGCTGCCTCATGTTCATAAGGTTGACGGAAACTCGGGGACTGCGCCTACCTGATGAGCCCCAAGAAGGGCGAAACCGGTCGTGGGCTGTCGAAGAGTTTTCAGCAGCCTTGTGAGTAGATTCCTTTATGAAAATAACTATGTTTGTTTACCGGCAAAGCTGGATTTTTAAAACGGCTTGTCAATCAAAATGGCACCACTTTTACAAATGTACTTACTTTGCCAAATTCAGTAGACTACGACTCCTGCAATGTTGAAGGAGAAGGAACGGAGAATTTTTGGGATGTAAGCGGAAAACTTACAAAATATCTCTCTGGCTAATGCCGGACACTAGATGTTGCTTGACGTAATTCAACTTCTGAGATGGTGAAACGAAAGACCAAATCTTGTTGAGTTACCACGTCAAACATACATTACCTAGAATAATCTTAGTGAATCTAATTATAAGCCGATCGATATTTTAGGTTTCGGATCATGCAGTGTTTTTTAGAGTTGCTTAAACGAAAAAGACTGTTCAGGCGTGACTATGAGCTTCCAACTTCACGTGAAGGGCATAGCTCAGTGTCTGAATAGTTCCGCAGGCTTCTCAAGAGACAGTCATTGCTGTAGGTTAAATGGGCAGCCACTAATCATACTACGATTTATCGTATTACCAGGTATTCTTTTTGTATTGGCCACCAAGTTGAGAGCATGAAACCATCAGGGCGTATCCTGTCTACAAGAGCTGCGACATAGTCTTCCTTATAGAAATGACGGGTTAAAAATCGTCGCTACTGAAAGCCACACCCTATAACCACTCGACGCCTAATCGTGACAGCGCTACATGATTCAGAACGATTAAAGCCGAAAGTCCGAAGGTTTTAAGAAAGCATTAGTAATGCGATTAAAAAGTAAGTAGCCATGTCTCACTCTTTGCGCTCTAGAGCCGGGGAAATCCCATAGAGCACAGGTCAGACGCTTGAGTCACACGCACAAAGTAGAATCGCCCAAGGAAGAAACCCTTAAAACCTGCTGCCCCGAGTTGAAAAATTTGAAATGCTCGCACTTCCTTGTGCGTGAGAGTTTTGGGTCAGAGACACAGATTGGTGCCGCAACGAAACCATACTTTCAGGCCATAGCGGCCACAAGGAAACATGCTTGTGCGGTGTAGGAACATGACTAGTCCCAGTCCTTCTCTAATTAGAAACAACCGGGCGTGATCTTCCCAAGGTATACATACAGTACCCTACTACAGTGGGACATCTTAAAACGGTCCCAGATAGCTCGCATTTCGAGTGTTAGTTAATTGATTGATGGTATGCTTATATCTCTGAGTATGAAAGCCGGTGCGTAGTCTAATGAGATCACAGTGGTAGCCGACTGAGTGTAGTCAGAAAGACAGGGTAGAAATGGTATAGGGACCCCTAGAAGGCACGAATGTGATCGCTCAACATATCTTTGCGTCGACCATCGTCTGTTTTGTTGAAGGCACAACCTTTGACATAAACGTGAACAGCATATGCGTTTGTGCCCTCAAATTCAAGGCAGGTTGGAAACTTCTAGAGACCACGTAGGAGCTGGCAGTAATAAAGGCTCACACATTTATGGGTGTTGTCTTTCCTCAAGATCAGATCCCGGTTCATTATTGCATTTTAACAAGACTCCTCGAAATAGAAGGTATTGCTTCCTAGAAGATGCGGTTGCCGAACAAGTCTAACAGAGCAAATGTACAGGCATCTTTCAAGTGAGAAACGATTGGATCAGCCAAATGAAAGTGAGGAAGGCACCATTACTGGACCAGCAATTCGATTAAGTGAGAAGAGCTCCGGAAAGATGACTGACCCCCCTCTTGAATCTAATCAGCGGAAATGGTGGCTAAGAACGGTCCAATGAACTAAAAAACGGTAGTGAAAACTAGAACTAGACCGACTTTGTTCCAGTTTATTAGCAAAATCGTCGATCTATAGACTATTTACAGAAATTCTACCCTACTATGCCGTCTGCATTGTTGGATGAAATAATCCGGCCCTAATCATCCCTTTGTATTTTGTTAGAAAAAAGAGTAATTGACATCCTGGGGACCTCAGGCGAAGCATTTGGAAGACGAAAGACGTATCGGATGAATGATAGATATCTGCCCCTGAAACTCATTGAATATCACTCTAGTCATCAGCGCTCCTTAATACCTCCTTAATACCGTGAACCCGAGTCTGGATAGCCGCTTGATGGCCTGATGCGCTTAGCCAAACCAGAAAAGCCAATGAACGTGAGAATCAGCAGATCTATTGAACAATGACGCGTACAGGCATGTCATGTGCGGCCGGGCTGTTTATGATGCTCACGTGGAAAGTTCCAGGCAGGCCAAAAAGTGATTCTAAAAATAGAACTCGTCTGTCAAGGTCAGGAAGAGAACAACCAATTAAATCTGTCTCAACGAAAACGGTCGTTCCATTGGCAGTTATGTAGTCCAGTATCGTTTGGAGCTGGTTCTCCTATTAGGTTTGAAGTGGCTAACATGTATCATCGGCTTGATGAAGTGTTCTAACTCGATGGTGGATGAACTAACCACATCTTTACTTTACAAAATTTCGGACACTGCCAGAAACATAAATAGCCAAACAATCGTTGTTCCACTGAGTCCAAAAACGGCGTTCAACCCACATGATCTCACTACTTCGTGACCATTTCTCGTTTTTAAATTATTCCCAACATCCTTGTCACACTGATTTCAAACTTTATGTTCGAAAGCCTTTTGGGCCGTGAGAGTGTACTTTCACCCTCTCACTTTCATTTTTTACAATCGATAAAATCCCACTTACAGCACGGAATTTATTTATCTGGTACAACTTGAAGACTTGGAGTATGTCGTGCTAACTTCATATTCCGTCAGAATCCAAAATACGCTAAGAAGTATGAATGATGTCTTCGTTCGTTTTGGTATGCTCTCGATACCTTCAAGTGCAAGAGGGCGTGAGTACACGAGCACTGGTGAACATGGCATCAAAATTACTGTAGATGGCGACAATACATATTTATGTCTGTAGTTGCACGACGTCAGAAGGCAGCATTACTAACAAAATAAATTCTAGGAACGACAAGGGCTGCTCCTATTTTTTCTAACCTCTGGAGGTCGATTTGACGTTAGCCTGTTGTTGAAAGATCGGGTGCACCCATGATCGGTTTACGGTTATAAAGCTTGGACACTGTTCTTATAAGAAAAAAAGAATAATGATTTTTTTTCATCACTGGCACCTTCGATTCAATGCATGTCTATCATGAGATGATTGGATTAGCAGTGCTGGAGCAAGGCGATTGGGTCTTAGCAAGAGATCAGCGGCTTGTCCGATTGGTTGGTTGATTCGACCGCACTAGCCACGCTAACCAGGTCATGTGACACGTACAGTGCGATCACGTCATGTTTTCTGAAGCAAGTTTTGACCGGCAGAGGCAAGGATGCAAACACCCTCAGACCTAAATAACGAGCACCCTCAACACAAAGATGTGGATCCGAGCTGTACTGGTGCACTTCGTTTGTTAGTTGGAGAGCCCGTAGCTCGACACATCAATGGTTAGAGGTCCTCACTGATAAGGCGACGTTACCCATATCCGCTTGGTCGGTTTCCATAAGGAATCAGCTATTCTGTTCTCTGTACTCCACTCTTCTACGCTGTCTGCTGCCTTATGTCGCGACAACCGAAATTGTTGTAAATTCGTACACTGAACTAAACTGAACAAGACACTTCAAAAGACTGTGGTGAAATTCAAACAGGGTTGTTATGTGTGTGTGTGATAAATTCAGACTCACCTGCTCACTGACGGTTGTGGAATCGTTGGCAAACTAGAGTTGAGGAGCATCAACTCCTTCTGGCAACGCCCCCTGTGAGAGTGAACGATAAATCTTCAATATCAGTTTTCATGAGCGTGATACCAATTTGGAGGTAGTCAAATGGGCCGATTTCCGTTTACCTCAAATTAAAATCTGAATATCCCCTTAGATTTCCCCCGCATGCAATAATGAAATTTCCAATAGACATGTCTTTTAAACGGAGAAGGGAATTGTTGATCAAAGTGTAGGCATACGCCAGAATGACCTACTCCGGAAATCTTGGATAAGTCAGCATATTTATATCACACAAAATTACTCCATTGGTTTTGCCTGTTTTTTTTCTGTTTTAGATCTACAGTTCTGAAGTTATTTTGAATATGGAACCGATTCTCTCTCGATACGATAGATCTGATTGGGGAACTTGTTTGTGCCATAATGATCGCATCAAACTTTGATGAATCATGGTCCACTGGTGTGAGAACAGAACGGGTATGTGGATTTATAAGAACCAAGAATATGCTGGTACAACGGTAATGGAAAATCCAACATACTTGGGAAGGGTTATCGAACAAGCAGCTTCTCGATACAGCAAAAATCTCTCTGGTTTGGAATTACACAATATAAACGTGCCCGTTTTTTTTACCACGGTTGTTCATTCATTCCCTTTTACAGTCGACAAAGAAATCAAGACTCATTGTCTATTACGTGTAGAAACGCAAAATGTAATCTGATTCAGTTGACTGTACTTAGATACAAACAAACTTATCAGTGACAAATGCGTACAAGAGAAATTTCTGTCCGTTTTATGAAATCTCGGTGGCGCAAGTTTGTCTGAGGTCCGAAACAAACCATACTGCAGATATCATCTTTCGAAACCTTCAGTACCTTCAGTGAAAAACACAACGAAGACGCAAGCAAGGATCGGTAGACAGGCAACTGTCTGAATATCGTGTAAAGTAATGTGCCACAGACGTAGATCAATATATTCACACCCTGCCCAAAATACCTGTCAGGTTATGGAGGGAGGTCACCATACCATCTTTGGTATCGCGACAATAAGAACGTTACAACGGAATTCGCCAATTCCCCGTTTGTACACTGACTTGGCTTCAAAAGAAGATTGAACTAAATCCAACTGAACTTCTCGTTTCCTTCAAAAGGTGACGAAACGTTTGCAAATCAATTGCCAAGCTCGGCGAAAGATCAACAGCCACCTGATTAATATATATATAGGAGACCTAGTGCTGGCCTATGTCAAGCATTCTGAGCTGCCTACACTTCTGAACGTTCAATCAGACAATCTGGAAAAAAGCTGTTAGCACGAACGTCACTGTCATCGATTAGCCGCCATTTCTTGCAACGTCTCCAGCCAAGCACAGACAGGGTCACGAGGACCCCATCCTGTGAGGCGTACAACACCAACAACACCCAAACTCTTCGTGATCTCTTTCACGCCTTTCTGCCAAGTCATGTGCAGTCCACCTCGCGGTTTGCGCCATCCTGAATGAGGCACGGAGAACAACACTCGTCTCGGTAGACGGTGTTTTGGCATGCGTAGCACATGACCGAGCCATCGTAGTCGATGATGCTGGATGTTTTCCCGGATTGAGGGCCTGCAAAACAGCCAAATACCCGTTTTCTAATCGCCTCGTTACTGACACACTGACGCCATCCACAACCAGCCACGCTTCTGAGGCATCCGTGGTCGAAAACCTGAAGACGCCTCACATCACCTGTCTCGCAACCATTCAACAACACAGCGGCGTATTTCTACGTATTTCTAACAATCGACACAAAAGGATGTTTATTTGTCTATAGAAAAGTTACGCGGCTTTGTGGATAAATGTTGCAGAATAATCACCCAACGCTGGTGGCTGATCAGGTAAGCAGGTGAACTCCGACGAACAAATCAATGGCTACCTGATCAGCCACCACCAAACGCATCTGATCTTCTACTATTTCGACACTTTGATTATCAAGGAATATATATATATATATATAACTCCAGATTTGCTCAGTTGACATACTGAGGCCGAAGAGTTGGTTTTCATCTACCGGTAAGGCAGTCGGGGTCCTAAATCTCCTTGAGCTGTGCATCGCCGACAGTTCCCGGAATAAAGCTGAAAAAGCTGTACAGTGCTTTTCTCCATGCGCCGACTTTACTTCAAAACTCCCTTGAGTTCCGTAAGATGCCCACTACCGGTGATTGCTAATAGGGACGGACCAGCTGCACAGGGCTTCGCAGTGTTTCAACATATACTGATTTCACATGCAGGTCGAATTCTCAATTGAAATTTTTGGAAATCTCCACGCGATTCCAACTATCCGCTGGGTGCGTCAGCGGAAATAATTGTTTGCAACATCAGCTGTGCCGCATCCCGTTAAACACTTTTACACCTGCCCAGGAATGTGAGTTTTCGCTCATCCATCATATTTCTCTACTACGTGTGTATACTATGGTGGAAAGAGTCATACTATGAGTATTGCTCAATAACTGGTCAGTAAAACGATGCACAGGATTCAAGTGACACAGACATACTTGGGATTTAAAGTGGTTATCAACATGCTTGTCTACTTGTGTGTCGTGTTTTCAAAATGCCCCAAGATTCTTGCAGATGGGAGATAAGCATACAAGCAACTGTGTGTGCGACAGTACGGTTCTCCAAGGAATCGGTGACGTATCCATGAAGCAGATTTTCACGCAGAACCCTCCATATTGGCAAGAGGAAATCAACGTTTCACTTACGTGAATGTGTAAAATTGTCTTCTTTTAAAGATACCACCGTTTGCTTTGGATTCTTTTGCGTCAACCGAACGACTGAGGCTGTAAACGAAGAATAATAGAAATGCAATTTACAATTCCACCTGGAACAGCTGACTGATGTCCTAAGGTTGTTTCTCTGCCGTGATTGATTTAAGTTGCTGATTAAAGAAAGTAAGTGAAATGTTCCATCTCTAACCACATATGGAAGCTCGCTTTCTAGTAAGTTCCCAGGTCATCAGTCCTTTTAAAGTATCAGATGGGCACAAATCTCTGAGTTTTTGTTTTCCGGAAGTTCTAGTCTGCCTAATAATCATGCTTGGTATGTTCGGACCCCAATAAAGCCGAAATTTTTGTTTCAAAACGGCTATTTCGTAGTTCACCCTCAAGAGACCCAGTTCCAATCAATGCTTCCATGTTTTGGTTGTATTTTTGTCAGCAGAACGATTTCGTCTGTGTAACAAGGCGCGGCAGGTGCTCTTGACACATTACAAACCGGATTCCGGCCGTGGGAGAATGCGGAACCGGGAGTTGGTTCCGGCGCCGTATTCATGCGACATACAAGGATCGAAATCATTTGAAAGAAACTCAGAGTTTGAGAGTAGAACTCGCGGCAACTTGGCTTCTGCATGGATCTTAGCGAACGCCCAGGGGCGTCTGATCGGAGTTTGGTCGAAATTTGGGCTGTCCGATATTTCATCAGTCAAAACGATCCGAGTTTCTTATTTGCCTGATCAGGAAAAACTGGACGCTCTGACTTCATTATCTGACCGTGTACCAACTAACATCAGCACGAATACTAACCCATGAACAAATATATGTTCAAATGCTGAGATGTTGGCCGACATGTCCCACATAGACATGACACTTGGTAACTTTGTGAATCGCGGCATTTGGTCGTCCTGTGAAGTGCGTTTGGAGCTCGCATCACATGGATATAGGCCCCAAGAGTGCAGTATTTTGGGCTATCTACAATAGTTCACGCCAGCAACACATGCAAGCTACATAGGACATGTTCCAGACAACTTCATTTGCACCGTGTACATGAAATGTTTTCGGGTCAAATTGGAAAACAGAATCCAGAGCACCGAAATGCTTCGTACAGCGAACACTGTTGGAAATGAAAGTATTTTGATGTCAAACTGCTCCAGTTTTCAGAACAGCTGGAACGGACAACCGGAAAACGGATTCCAGAACACCTTTATTTGCTCTAGCTGAAAAATGTAGTGTGGAATCCCGAGAGTCCAAAAACTTCCGCTACGTGCCGCGACGGTCTTTAGTCAAGTATGAAAAATTTAGATTCCGTTTTAGATCACCGGAGGGTTTGATACTCAGCAGTACGGCTTGGGGAATGGACATCTGCATGAGCGCCAAGATCCAAGGGCTTCCATACAGGACCATTTTCAGCGCGAATCATCAGTGCGGTTGTTATACTACTCAAAGGCGTTTAGCACTTAACGGCTTTTTGACGGCAAATCCGATTCGGGGGGCCATTCGTTCTGTTACGGAACCAAATTGAAACCACATCCCGCTTGAGTGCCAAATGTCCGAATGCCCAGTGATTTTTCGGGGGATATGTCCGTATGCATATGCGTGCTTTCAGTACAGTTCACAACAATGATCTCGGGTAACCAAAATGATACGTTGAGTACTGGCTTTAAAAAACTCAGTTTTGAGACCGCAGAGCCAAAGTAGAGCGTTCCAACTGGTATTAATTTGCACAGACCCTTCATTTGTTGCTTCGCTATTCGAACGTCCATGATGCTTCTCCTACCCGATCGATAAGCCAGTAAAAATACCAAAACCCAAGGTCAAATGACACACGAGAAACGGTAACTTCACACTTTTAAAAGGACTGTTTGAAGGTCCATAACAAGATGGATTAAAATACGCTTTTCCTACACCACTGGTTAATTGACTCTCTGACAAAAACATAGTCCCCTCAGATTTCATTCAAATTTCGATGAACGTTGACTTTCGTGCATCAGAACCAGGCGGACATTCATGACCAGAATACCCACCTAGTTGTTCCAACCGTCAATCTGGAAGCCATTTTGGTTGCGCGGTCGTTTCAATAACACAATGAAAGTGTGGAAGAATCGCTTTAACGATGACGAATTAAGATGCTCGTCTAATCTAACTTGACAGTAATAACAACGCTTGTCACGTCGTTTAGGCAGTTGAACTGAGGTCAGATATGCACTTTGGCCAGCAGCGTCATGAGAAGTTTGGTGTACTTTAGGTGAAGTCGCGAGCAGTGATCAATAAATAACGCTACAGCATTTAAACTGTCTCTCTGTCCTTTCCAATCTAAGACCGGGTTGTTACATGCTTTCGCGTATTATCCTGCCTGGTTAACATTCCCTATTCCTAACTAACGCCCGAGTACTGAGATAATGCAGGTCGCCTGGTACCACCATGTCATGGCTTTTTAACCCACTGGCCTCCCCATCATCAGTGGGGAAAGAAAACATTTGCACTTCAAGACACTAAGTTATTCTACATAATGGGAACCCATCAATGAATCATGTCTAACAGCAGCTCAATGTGTGTTCGCGTTCTTAAAATGATCATTCCGGTTCCTGGAATAACGATTCTTTCATCTGAATTTAAAATGCCACAGATTCCCGTCACCTTTGAGATTGATCTCGCTCATGCCTTGAAAAGCATTCATGGCTGCCTGCCAAACTGGAGACGTTTCCTCTGAGGTGATGTCACTCGAGTGGCCAGTCAACACCTGCGGTCAGGTGGTACGGATTCCGTGAATGAAAAACGAGTGGCACTGTATCCTATCTAAAAGTGAGTTGATCATTCTGTTGACCGAACGACTAACAGTTCAAACTAGCACCAGGTTGATGAAAATCCTTTGACAACCCATGATCTCTTTCGTCCTTCTTGAAAACACCATGAACGGGAGATTCAGCTGGGTTCTAGGTGAGTCTCTCAAAAAACCAAATTTGTTTGCAGATGAGTGTACTTTGGTCTCAAGTAGAACGTAAGGGGACTGCGCCTACCTGATGAGCCCCAAGTAGGGCAAAACCGATCGTGGCCTATCGAAGAATTTTCAGCAACCTTATGAGTAGTGTATTAAGTCTACAAAACGTATTCTTGTTTTCTTCCCAGAAGGAAAGCTAACAAAGCAGTGAAACAAATTCTGTGGACATGATAGTAATGAAAGGAAGACTGGCGGACACGAATGCAAACTGACTATGAGGTGAAAAAAATCATTTCCCGGTGGTGCGTTCATTGCTAAAAAATTTTTTCGACTGCCCGAATTGCACTCACGTAAAGAAACACTGACGATCGACTGCCCACTTCCACAGAGCTTCAGCGGATTCTGCTGTCGGACACTTGAAGCCCAGTGTGTGCCGGCGCTGTAAACAAACGGGAGAAAAAAACACCAGGTAACAATGACCACAAAGAGCGACCGCTGAATGTTTGTTCGCCTTGGGATTTTGAATAGGCGAAGGTGAATACCTGGCAAAAGTTCAGGTAGAAGGGTTGAGTAAAAAACCTGATAGAATCAAGACCTTTTCAAAGTCTGTCACAAATCTTAGAATCTGCACAGAAGTCGACAAGCCATGGTACGAAAGCATATTCGAAGTTAAAAAAAAGTTGCGAAAAGATAATGCAACCATTTTGCTGCAACTCGCAGCAGCAGCTTTCATTGATCTTTTCGCCCAAGCTCTACTAATTTTTGTCTGTTCATTATTGATTAATATTCGAAAATGATGGCCATGGTAGTTGGACGTGGAGCAATATCATACCTTTTGCTGCTTCATTCAGATGATAACAGAACGATAGAAATCGAAACAAGTGATTACACGAGAAGCGTCAACCGTGCTGATGAGATGCTATCCCAAGCGGTGTCTCTTCATATTTGGTCCCTTGTATTCCGAAATACGACAGCTTGGTAAGTTTTTACTGTCATTTGATATCCTCAGCAGTCTCCTTGACCTAGCCAGCTGCCGAACACAATTTCCATCGCGCACGAGGACGCAAATCTAGTGTACTGAGTTCTCATTTAGAGGTGTCACACACGCGTTTCACAAATAGAGTGGTGTGAAAATCTCTAAGTGAAATGGTTGGGAGCCTCAGGGCAAACTTTCTGTCCATTACAATCTATCTACTACGGTTTCCTCCCTTTGAGGGGCCCAACTTTGAACAGCAACCAGTTCGCGTCGTCTGAGAATTTAGTTTCCATCCCAGGAACGAATAACTCCTAATAAGGGGTTGAGTTTCCCCTTCAGACTATCTGTCCATAGAGCAGAACGACTCTGCCGTCTTTTTGGGTCTGCGTGAACGTTGCGGACGTTCGTTGTTCCGCAGGGATCTCTTCAGAAGATTCGACCACAAACGAGTTTTAAACTCATATATTTGTTGGGATACCGCAATGTATGGTGCTCCATATCCGGTCCAAATGAGAGCTAGTCCCACTGCTGAACAGCAGTGTTTTAACTATTAGTCCGAAGGTCACGGGTACAAAACTCCAGTTAGATGCGCAAGCATGATGACTCGAAATAAGGATAAAACAGATGTTCCTCTTTCCACAAGCCTCATTGGCCTACCATTACAGGGTGAAATTTCAATCGACCGTTCACAAATCTCCGTACACTAGTACAAACTGAATCGAAATGTTGAAGCCTTACTGGTTTAATCGGGTTTATCTGAGGGGGCGTTTCGAGGATTTAGTTTGCGGGAAATCCAAATCAAACCAGCACCCAGTACCTCTGTAAAGGTGATAATCATTACTGAATATCATTCATGTTAGTCAGACCTGAGAAGGCAAAGAAAGCATGTTTTACCTACTGAATGCCGATTAGACTGGACCTTTAGATTGGAACCACCAGGCTGCACTGTTCTCGAGGGTCTTATTGCGGATTGCGACTCATTATAGTCATTCGTTGGGCGAACAATTTGACTGGGTAGGTTGACCACACTGAGTGGTCATCTTCCCCTAGCTGAGTGTTAGTTAACAGATATAATGTTCATCTCTCATGATCCGGAAGTTGAGATACTCTCACGGGAGCACAGGACACTGTGCTATCGTTGATTAGCGTAGGAAACGATTCAGTCGTATGCTGTAATTCGTGAAATTTATTCGAATACCTCGTTTTCTTCAGTCGTTATCGTGTACAGAGAATCTTGGTCTCCTGAAACTGAGGACAAGTAGAATGAACCATGTGAGCGTGATGTTGTATAGACCATATTGATGGGAATCCCGGGTCTGTGCAAACCGCTCACCAGGACTGAATTGAGGGACTTTAATATCCATTGACAGCCGGTTTTTTCATCCACTGAGAACCTGCTGCTTTAAACATTGTCGGATGAAGATATATTTAACTTCTGTGAGGATTGGTCTATACTACTATCAACAACGATTACTCTGATGTTCAACAGACTTGTATGGGTGTGATTCTTTCACCGCTGACTTTGGTTACGTGGATCATGGATGGAAAAAACGCTACAATTGAGAATTTCGGGCACCCAGATTTGCTACGGGGAATGCGCTGATCACAGCCTTTAGACACGCCAACAAATGAGGTCATATACATGAAGGGAACCACTCACTAGGTTGCTGAAAACTCTTCGACAGCCCACGACCGGTTCCGCCCTTCTTGGGTCTCATCAGGTAGGCGCAGTCCTCGAGTTCCCATCAACCTTATGTTCTACTTGAACCCAAATTGCACTGTTTTCGAGCAATACACTCATTTGAAAATCAATTTGTTCTTCATCAGAGACTCAACGGAACATCATAAACGAGAGATTCAGTTGAGTCTCTCTTGAAAACCAGATTGATTTGCATATGAGCGTATTTCTCTAGGTCATATACATGTTTTCAAAAGTTTTAGGCTGAGAAAATTTCCATCCGGTGACCAGCGTTTGGTAATAAAATAAAATTCTTTCCATCGAATAATAGCATCATTTTAAATGGGCGGAATCAACACATTCAGGCAAAATTAAAAGAAAACGACCGATTCGGAACAGTTGACCCTCCTGACGGTTTCTTCCATATGAATATATCACGCCTACAGGTTGAACAGTACCATTCCTGCGGTCCCTGCGGGCAATCAAGGAACTTCACCGGCTCTATAAAACTGTACAACGTTGTGTTGTTGCCTGTGTGCTGCGTACAAAGTTGTCTCCTCACATCTGACCGCAATATCTCCTTGGCTAACTATGGTTCCTCATTGACACGCGGAAGCAAAGTTATCCAGACCCAACACTGGGTAGACTCCGACATCAAATCGCGTGTGAAATGACCTCAGAGTGGAACATGAGTTCCCAAAAAATTGTACTGCTGTAAAGATGCGTTTCTAGTCAAACAAAACAACTTCACTTTTAGTCGACACGACAAACTGGATTTACTGTTTTATTAACAATGGACTGGAAGTGCGCAATAAGACAACTGACCACAGTGGAGATATTTACTCAGATTTTAATAAAATTATTGTATATATGTATACATACATTGGTATTTTCTAGAAATCAGTGAAATGCACATGCTTTGGACCACCAACTCTATCTTCCAAAAAGGACCATCGGACTGGATTCTGGTCTCCCTAGATTACGTGGTCAATTTGGGCATTGTATAGGCATCACGCGGTAATTTTTGACGTTCACTTCACATTTGACGGTAATTTTCTTCCTATATGAGATGAATTCTGGTCCGAAAAAATACTTTCAGAATGGTACCACACCCTATAAATATCCACCTTTTGTTATCACTGTCTAGATTCATCGAACGATAGACATTTGGATGGGTTATTACAGAATATGGATGAAGGCAAACACGCCCACTTAGGCTAAGTATGTTTTTCATATCATGAAAGAACAACAAAACCTTTGTGCATAAAATACCCCTTCGGCACACTTTTGTTTGAGTCTGCTTAGAGCTGCGAACCGGTTGATTGACAGCGCTTTGATTTTTTTGATAAACGTTGATACGTGCTCTAGAAACAGTGGTAACGATTTAATATACTACTCTAATTCAGCTAGTAGCATCATACGAAAGATGTCAATCGTTATTTCGGGGTTGTACAAATCGTTTCAAAAAGATTTACCGGTTGAGCTGCACTGGTGAAGCTCAAGGAACAACCGAATTTATCTGGCGCCCGTCCTCTACCGGACTTTCAACATATTTTGAGCAGTAATTTCACACTGTCCGTGCATGTTGAAATATGCGTTTTGTACAATCATTCGGAATGGGCCGACATCTTGCAGCTTTCAAAGAACTGTTGGAAAAGCGTATACCGAACGAAGCTGAATGCAACATTCTGTTTGTTAACACGCTAAGCTTCCAAGAGACCACTAAGTTCACAATGCAGTTGAGTATTCACCCCAGGTACACCAAGTGTGAAGCAAATACAACAACATCAGTCCTTATCAACCGCATACATCTATCGTCTGATTCTGGCAAACACAAAAGATGATGGATCAGGGGTTCCATATTAGTTTTAACTCATGCAATGTCGCCAATTGGTTGGCCATACCTCACTGTTTGTTTTACTCACCCACCGAGGCACATTTCAAGCTGATTGTTCTCATGTAATCAACGAATTCTCAATATGTTTGTAGCTATAAAACTTCCAAGGAGATAGGCTCTCAGTCCCGTGATGAGCGCAGACAAGTTCTATACGAGTTGGTTCTTTCCACTGTGACAACACACTTTAATCATGTTGAAATGGGGTTTGTGTTTCGTTTGATCCCCCTACTGGCTCTTTCAGGCTGATGCTATCAGCCCGGGAGCTAAATTGCATTACTGTGTCCTTTTACTCCCCAAATATACCTGGCTGATATGCTCTGATTTTCCTCGGTTTGAAACCCCAAGGAGGATGAAACAAATGAACAGTGCTCCTCAGATTTTTAGCTCAGACTAGTTTCGCTTGTAGGAGGAATTTTCGATCGAAAATCGATTCTAATGGTACCAAACGATTTCAGGTTTCTGACGCTTTCTTACGGCAGTGTACTCAATAGAAGATCGATGAGCCTGGTCCCAGTGTCTCCTGTCTCGCAGTAGTTAAAACTTCCGATTTTAGCTTTGGCGCCGAACAATCTTGTAAAACAATCATACAACCAAATGGAGCAAACCGAACAACGACCTCACCCATTTTTGCACCTGGAAGTTTGCAGAACTTTTCACTTTCTTCGGAACTCATTCCAGTCGTTTTCCCGGCAGTTTCAGCGTTTCTGCGCAGCAAGCTAAGCTGGTTTCTGCGCAGCAAGCTAAGCTGGTTGGCTTGGCTTGTCCGTTAACAAGCATTCTTTCCAGTCATTTGAAGGTTCAAGTGAAGTTGAGTGATTCTGGTATCGTCGCAGACAGCAAAGATCCGATCCAAAAAGTAATACATCACCGTTGTAAACCAATTTTTG